CTATAGACGAAGCCGAATAGCAAAAGGAAAAAAATGGTAAACTTGTGTAATTTACAAAGCTTCCTTAGCTGAGAAAGCCTTCTTTCTTCCCTGCTGACGGAACATCTGAATATATTTTGTGGCTGGTAGTTTTCAAAACCTTTTCCTTTTTTCGCAGAAAAAAACTGCGCTGTCAATAATACATTATATTCAGCCTTGGTTTTTCCAGAATTTCCAGGATTGTTTCTGTCCTCGCTTCTCAAGGTGTCTACTGAACACTGAGCTCCAGGTGGCAGAGGTCGAGTTACTTGTCAAGTTACGTATAAATGAAAACAGCTTCGGATTGGTAGCTGAAGCATATTGAAGATTGACTAGAAAGTGATGGTCTGTATTTTGTTACAAATTATTAAACTCAATGGTACGTGTTTGTCATAAATTAGCCAGGACTAACAAAGTTTACATGCTAAATTTAGGTCAAATTTAGGTTTGGGAAAGGTAAATCAAAAAACCCCAGCACCACAAACAATTTCATTTCACCGAACACTGTAGCGGGAAAAACAGAAACATTGCACACCCTAGGGTTTGAGATCACCGCAACACCGCAAGTTGAGATTTTATTCCCCGCATCATCGCAATAAAAAACATCAACACTGCAACACCGCAAATCCCCATGTCCCCCTCACCACTCAATCCAGAGACAAGCACACTGATCAAGAGGCCACAGTGCCTCCAACAAAATGGTGTATAAGGTCAAATCTTAGTTGATATAAACTTTCATATAAAATTTTCTATTCAAATGGCAAATAAAGCAACAGCAATTGCAGGTGTTGTTGCCAAAAAGGGAATATTAGTCTCTATCAATAACAGTTTGGCGAACCAGTTAAATAGGGCTTACTTTCAATAGGTGAATAGATTAAGTATGGAGAGTGCTATTTGCCATTTTTATATACATTTCAAGAAATTGCTATCATTGTTAGTAATAGAAAACAGGAGAAAAGTGGAAAAACTCTTTGAATTTTGGCAGAAATTAAAGCTCTAAATATTCTATGTGATTGATAGTAACTGAATTACTATTGATTTTCTTAGAAACGATAATGTCAGAACATACTTAATGTATATATAGCTCATTAGGAACATTTCTCAAACTCTTTATACATGTACTTGTAACTGTATATTGCAAGAGCTACATTGACATAATTTGAAGTATCTGAATTTGAATGAAGAGATTTATAGATAGCTACATTAAGCATTGGATATGTTAACAATTAAACGGTCCACTGATCCTTTTCAATTCTTAGTGTTTCAGTCTATGGAGCTGCACTGAAATCAATGTTGACATGAGTACATAAGGAGATGTTAAAATTTTTGTTGACCCTGAAGCTTTGGGCACCTTTCTTTGCTTAAAGCTCCTTTAGTAACATATGCAGAGCTAGCTCTGTATGTTGACTGCTTGAGGTTACCCTCTTAGTGCCTTTAGAAAAAAATGGTGTTTTAAAACTGACTGTCAGATAAAACAGTCTTTTAGTGACCAGCTTCCTTGGT